GAGATGACATTTGACTAAACTGACTGAAAGTGTCTTTGATTCTGTCAACATGCTAGTCTCATTATTACAGCCATCTTGTGGTGCCAAATGTCTTTTGTTCATGCCATTTCTTTGCAGAAGATAAAATTAAAAACTAAAATATTTCCTTTGCTGTGTAAAATTCTCAACCTATGAATGTTGATACACAATCGTCCCACATCTGCTAAAATAGTTCAGCAGATTGAAGCTGCAGTTACTTGAGCAAACTCACCAGATCTCCACTCTACATATGCATCTTCATCTTCATCGACCGAAGGAGGCTGTGAGAATGAATTTAAATGAAAATAATTTTGTAAACTGACTGCCTGCTTCCAATCTGAGGCTTCAAACATTGTTAAATACATAAGTGAAAACAACAGGCTGAAGCTAAATGTGGACTATTTAATGTCTGTGTGACATTTTGGACTTTACAGGCATTAGCGACTATTAATCTTCACTTAGTGGTGATTATACCTTAAATGTTTTAGCACATGGGTATTTTCTATATGTTGCACAGTGTAGGACAACACCATTAGGTCAATGTGTTATCCATTATCCAAAATATTTTACATCTGGGTTTTACACTTTGCAGAGAAATGTTTACAACGGCATGTTTAAAATTATCCAAATGACATCGTCTGGGATGTTATCATTTTTAGGATAGTTTTAAAAGAAAGCAAATGTTCTGTAAATGTGTATGTTTAATTTCTATGTCACTTTGTTTTGGAGAAAAATAAATGGATGTATGTAGGAGCTTTTACTAACTCGGTCATGACTCTACACATCATGTTTTGTTTTGTTTTTTTAAACATATGCTAAGGTCCACTAATCTTCTTATTGATTGGACTTTTTTGTTTTTTTTTGCCTCTCCAACTCTGAATAGCTTAACAAAAATGTGCCTCAGTAATGGACGGTCATATCCTCATCCATCGGCCTCCTCCCACCAGCTATGACTTGAAATAGGCCATCAAGTGGCTAATGAACTGATGAGCCCTCTGTGGGGGCTTATGAACATCATAAGCCAAATGTTAGGGCATATTTGGAGAGACTGATTTTTTATTTTTTATTTTCTAAGTGTAGGAGTGTTTCCAAAAGATCTTGCCTCCTCTTGCATACATATTCCCATAAATAACTGCATGTTGTAAAAGGGAAACCCTGAAACATTCAGAGTTTTTTGTCTTTCAGGACATGTTGTTACTTCTGTGACTGTGTGGCCCCTGTGCGTCGTCAGACCTCCAGCTAGTCAAGCTGCTGGTATCATTATCAGTTCTGGATCTGTGTAAATCCGTGGATTTGTGTGAGCAGTCTGAGAAATTAAAATAACATGCTTTTTACAGCGCTTACTTCAAATCTCTTTAGACTTCATTTTTTTAAACATCTAAATCTGTTATTATGTAGGCTGCACAAAACCCTTTTAATGTAATCTTTGACAAGATTATCAAATTCATTGATGATGTCACAAACTTAAATAATTTAAATAAAATTTTTTGACTAAGCCTGGATAAGCACATTCAAGAGGATACTGCAGGATTAGAATATTATTTATTTATATTATTTCCTATGAGTTATTGGCACATATTACATATCATCATGCTGTTTCTCTTGTTGATATTTTATCAGATTGTTTATTCCTTAAAGCACATTAAAGTAGGCTAGTGGAGCAGCTTTGAGATTGATGAATTCATTTTGATCTAACTGAGCTTGTTTTAATTGATAGCATTTAAATTAATTTCTCTCATTTCAACAAGCTATCCCGGATTACTTCAAATGTTTAATCAAATAGTTCCAAATTGTGTTTTAGCAGAAAATTATTTTTCTCCTTCTTAAATGTTTTTATTACATCTCAGAAGGAAAAAAAAATGCACCTGCAAGATTTTGCTAAGAATCCCCATGTAAACATTACATTCCAGCTTGTGCTTCTGCTTTCCTTCACCTTTTGCTCTTGATTAAAACTCATTGTGTAATTGAAGCATGTTTGAAGGCTGGATTATCGATCATTTTAACTTATAAACTCTGAAAACATTAGACCTTCTTATAACCAGCATGGTGATTTCTAACTGTGAGTCCAGTCTTATTTTAAAATGGTGAGGATGTATTTTGCAAAGATGGCCTAATGGGTCCACTTCCAGATTAGCCCAACATCCACTTTCATATTTTCCTTGCATTACCTTTTTTTAATAGCATGCAAATAGAAAATTAAAGTAAAGCATAATCATTTGGGACAGTATTGGTGCAGACTATCACCAATTTAGCTTATTAGGTTAGACTGGAATTATGACTGTTAGCATAACTGTCAAGCTTTTAAGTTTTTTTCTTTGAATTTTCATTACTAGTGCATATGTTACCCTATCTTGTCTTGAGCACTTGCAATGTTTGCTTATCATTCTGGCCGGCTCTGAGACTCTTCAACAATAAATGTTTATGGATAAAAGTTGGTTGTATTATTTTAATTAATATTTTTAGTTGGAATTTTTGGATCTTGTATATTCAAAAATGATTGAAAAGGAGAGCTAAATCCAGATAGAGTTAATCACACTTTATATCTTCAGATTTTTTTGTGTGCTGAAGTGTTGTCCTGTTTTTCCACGTTTTTAGTCTGAAGGGTGACATTTAAAAGCGACCCTACAGTCTATTATTTAACACTTTTCTTCTTCCTGGAATTTGTATAAAGGGGTTGTTGACACTGCACAGACGTGATCTCATGAATATGCAGACCTCTCTCAGTCTAACCTATTGTTGTCAAATTCAATAGTTTGATTGTTTAGCGCCATAGCGGTGCATATCTGTGCGCTTTAAAACATAGGCTTGAGTTGTTACAATTTATTGCGCATTAAGTGAGAAAAAAAATCAGTATAAATTAGTGGGGCAACACCTGAAAATAATCTACTTTACCCTTTGGTATAGGTCAAACCGGCTGTTGCATATTTAGCCTTTTTTTTTGTGGCACACACAACTACACACACCTTTTTCTTCCTGACCACGCAGGAGTGGAATCAGAGTGCATTCCTTTTTAAACTATGATTATTTCAAGAAACGCTTTTAATTAGCGGAGACTCCAATGAAAGAGAGATTACTGGCAAAGTCAAGGATGCTAATTGAATGCTGGACTTCTGACAATTAGCGCACTGCAGTGTTGTGCAGACTCATTACGGATTCCAAACCCAGACAGACTTTATAGTCTGAAGTATATGGACTCGAGAGCAACAGAGAAAAGAACAAACTCAGCTGGAGTAGCAAATGTTTCTCACCAATGCAACTCAGCAAATATCATCCAGGTACCTTTGTGTGTCTGAATAAAGAGGCGTAACGTATAAAAGTCAAGAGAGACCCATTCAATATAGGAACTGAATTACTCTTGTTCGGAAAGCAATGAAGATCGTCAGGTAGCACATTAAAAACCGAAAGCCGTAACGGAATTTAGCTGTTTTATTACGGGGTGGCTTTGAAATTAAAGATATATACATTAGCATATATAGTAAAATATATGAATTTTTAGCTCATTCAAAGAATGCGGTGTCCAGTAGTTTCAAATACAGCCCATCTTTTAATTTTTGCTCCAAGTATTTCATTTTGTATCATTTGAAAGTTTAATTTTTGCTCTTTCAAGAGACGTAGCTTATTTTGATGTCATCTAGTTTTAAAAAAATATGGTTAATTATCCAACTTTACTATCATATTGTTCATATGTAATAAAATGGGACTGGGATGATTAAGGCGGGGAAATAAGCGTCGGACATTTAAAAGTGGTGAACGCTGAAAAAATCAAAATCAAAAGCCATGAGCATATTTGATGACAATTAATTAATTAATAAATACAGCATTTCTTGTTTGAGAAGTGAACGTCTCCTTTTGTGATGAGCCATCCTTTTTTATATTATGGATGCTCTTGGATATTTCTGTAAATTCTCATTGTTTAGCCTATGATAACCATTATTTTGTTCTTCGTAAGTTCAAAGTACACTTTTTCAATAAGAACATTATGTTCCGCACGATACTCCTGAAAATATATCTAATGCTACCCGGTAAAAATTTCCAGATAAAAATGTCAGCATTTCAACAAGTTGCCATAGTACAAAAGATCCCTGGAAATTTACGTTAAAAAGATTACACTGCAGTTTGGATGAAATATATAAAAGAATAAGAAAAGACTAAAGGATTATCCACAGGACTGTGTGTGCAGATGAAAGCTTGTTATTTTAATTAAAAAGTTAAATGGAAGTTAATCAAACTTAGAATCTACAATGTAGCTAAAAAAATGTCCACTCTAATTTGCAATATATTACAAATAAATCATGTAAAGCCGTGTTTTGTTGTTTTTTTTGTTGTTGTTGTTTTTTTGCATGAAAACCCTTTTTGTTTTCTTCATTTTTATGTAGTTTATATGTAGAAAATAAAATTGTAGATTAGATTGTGGACTTTATGTTTGCCAGCGGCCCTGGTTTAACTGTACTCTGCCTCCCGGGGTGATCCATTCGACTTCCAATCATAATTTTAAAAAGAGACTAATATAACTAATATGTTGCGTTTTGTTGGTTAAATTGATAAATGCCTTTTTAGTCTACGCATCCTAGCAGTGAAGGTGATGAGCAAATTAAACTACAAATCAGCTTTGAAATAAACGCCTGCTGGCCCCATGCTGTAACATGTAATTATTTCAGATGTGTTGGATCAAGAGGTTATAAAATATGCATGAGAAAACAGAGCTCGGTTGAAACTGACAAGTGTAATTATTACTCACTTGGATGGCAATTACTGGCCCAATTAAAGCGAAACTGTGCATTTAAACCAACAAAACGGTGACCTACTTCCGTTCCCCCCAGAAAATATATCAAATATCTCAACAGCATAATAAAAGCTAAACAGTCCTTGTGACTCAAACCTGCTTGGAAAAGCAATCACAGCTGTTTCTTTTTTTTTTTTTCTTCACACTGAGATACACACACACGCATTCACGCACACACATATGTATTTTTGGTAGAAGAGTAAGCCCACAGGATCTTTATTCATGTCTTTTCAGCGGTGAGGTCACACTCTCTTTGGGGGACCGAGAGAAGGATCCACAATCAGATCAGTAGAGGGGTGGGGGGTTGGGGGGGGAGCAAGCAGCTGAGAGTCTTTTCCAGTATGGCCTAACCCTCCATAATGTGCCTGCAGAAAAAAAAGAAAAAAAAAATCTCGTCTCTGTCTCACTTTGAATTTTACTTTTAGCTCAATTTTTGTCCCAAAAAAGTTAAAAATCTATTAAAATCACAGCAGAGAGTCTGATGCGAGAGGGGGCTCACAAATTGCATACAATACAACAGATCACAGTTTCGAAGGCTATATCACAGATAAAAAAAAAACACCTATGTACCATTTATTTAAGACGCACACTGATTGTCTCTTAGAAACTACATATTGATTCCTTATAAACACTTTTTCTTAAATAAAGTAGTGCATCCATGTCCACACAGTATCCTCATGTCTCTCTGCCAGCAGGTTCATTTTTTTTTAAAGAGGTCTGCACTTCAGCAGGACTCATTGAAGTTTTAGTTCCGTGGCTGCGGTTGTCCTCAACAGGTGTTTTAACGCACAGAGGCACGCAATGATAGAGGTGGCTGAGGGGCTACAAGTTGTGAATGAAAGGGGGGGAGGGGGGGGAATCTATATGCCAGCGCTAAAATAAATTAAACCTCTCCTTTAGGAGTACCGAAGACCACCGGGATAAAAAAAAAGGAGAGCGCAGCCAGGCTCAACCAGTCTGATGTTGAGTTTTATTGAAGGATGGCTGAACTGCGTCTCATGTGATCGTCACTGCTCTGTTCACAGGACCTGGAATTTCCATGAGGATGTTTGATCCTTATAATCCAAGCAATCGGCATTGAAGTTCAGCTTCCATGACGCCGCTTGGTCCTTATAATCCAAGCAGTCTGCCGTGGAGTTGAAGCCCAGGCCGGACGTCCCGTAGCCCTGGGTAGAGAGGGACGCCGGAGACTGATTCAGATGGCTTGTGACGGCGTTCGTGCTCATCGGGCTGAGAGTCGAGCCGGGCCCCGACAGCTGGTGGTGCATCGGAGTGAGGTAAGAGCTGCAGTCCATGCCCCCGAAGTAGGACGTCGACCCGGCGTAGCCCTGGCTGTAGCCCGAGGCCTGAGTGTAGGTCATGGGGTAGGACCGCTGCATGCAGGAGGAGGAGGTAGACAGGGGGTCCGAGAGAGGAGAAATAGACGCGGGGCTCCAAATGGACACCGGGGCGGTGCTGGTGGAGATGGCGGGGACTGTAGTGGTGCTAGTGGGGGGCGTGAACTGGCCGCTGGCCCCGCTCTCCGAGCTCACCTCCCTGGTTGGGGAACTTTTCTTTTTAGGGGGTCGCACCTTGTTTTGTCCGCCGTTCTGTTGCTGTTGCTGCTGCTGGCGACACTTGGCCCGCCGGTTCTTAAACCAAACCTTTAGAGGTAAGATAGAAAGGGAAATTATAATTTAAAAAATGGAACAAAAACAACAACAACAAAACAAACAAAAACAACAAAAAACAAACAGATGTTATTTGCATATTGGTGATCCCACCTAAACCTGTTATAAAAGTAGACAAAGGCTTATGCTTTCACTAAATTTAGTTTGACAAACATTGCTGGAATCTTTCTATTTCTTTGTTTCTTTTTTATTTCTAAATAATAAATCTGTGTTTTGTTTTCCATTTAAGTTATATAAATGAGAATTAATAAAAAAAATAAAATAGTGACAATAAAAGTAGCAGGGAGCTAAATTATACATTTCCCCAAATGCAGGGGAAGAACAAAAATAAATTATGTAGCCAAAAGATAGTTTTGTCTTCATAATTTATAACATGATACATTATAAACTTAGCATTTCTATATCAAACTTATTATTGTTTATTTCCTAGACATTAAGCTAAAATGAAGTTAATTAAATCTTTAAAAAAGAAGAGTGGAAACAATACAATTATTTTCTCTATAAACAAGTAAAACACAAAATCTTGTCTACAGACACTGTTTTTATTCATAATTACAAAGATAGACCTAAATAAATGTTGTTACATTTTAATAATAAATTAACACATCTTTTGCTCAATTTAGAACACATGTTTCTGCCTCATGTCACTAACATTTGAATTTCATCCCTAAGATGTCAAATGAGTGCAAATTATTATTTTTAATTGCCCCTAACAGTTATTCGCAGACATTTACAGAATATGTTATCTTAAATATGGCAGAGTAACTTATTATTGAAAACAATTATGAAATACTGTAATAGCTTTTCTTCCACCATAGATTCGTTTGTTTTCTCACCTGTACTCTGGACTCAGGTAAGTTGATTTTCAGCGCCACTTCTTCGCGCATGAATATGTCCGGGTACCTGGTTTTGGCGAACAACGCCTCCAAAACGTCGAGCTGTGCGCGCGTAAAAGTAGTCCTTTCTCGCCTCTGTTTTCGTGGCGTGGCTGCAGGCAAAACAGACATATTAATTCACTTAACACTGCCTACGGATGTGAATAAGATGCATTTAACAACTAAAATGTTAATGTGCGACTGAAATATCTAAACGCACGTTTTGTTTTTGTGTGCGTAATTACGCACAAACCGTTCATCTTGAGTGCAAGCTTTCAAATAGAGTAGATCATTATTTTAAAAAAAATATTTAAATATTAAAATTTAAATACAGAATTACTAATTTTCTAAATAGAAAGTAGTACAATGTAGTTTTAATATTGAAGTGTTCTGTTTTCAGAATCGACCAATTTGTCAAACAGGAGGGGAAAAATACATATTGGGTGTATTATTATTGTTTATGTCAGAGTGCTTTAATTGTTTTGAAGGTAAAACGTGCATTTGAAGAAAACTTGCATTGCTGAAGTTAAAAAGAAAAACAAACCGAAACCCACCTGGATAACCCACTGATGGATGCAAAAGGTCCATCCCGGAGGTTGTTAAGCTCAGGCCATTGACTGTGTAAGGTGGTTGCTTTAGATACGACATCATGCTAATGTTTGTCTGAGGGCTGAAGTTGGAGAAAATTTTGAAAACTGATGTCGCTCCGAAGGCGCCCCTCGTGTCCTCTCTGATCTCCGTGGGCTCCGTGTTACACCGGGTACCTGTTCCAAAATAACAGAGAGCAGATGTGAGCTTTATTTCCCCCCTGCACGTATATTAGCTCAGTTTACAGCGTGTTTGTTGTCCAAAGACCCACGTCGCTTCTCACAAAGCTTCCAACGCACCTCCAGCTGCCCCTACCACTATACGACCCCCGCGCCCCCCTCCGATGAAGGCAAACAAAGCACGGGGATCAGAGCTGCAACAAGTCACTTAGAAATTTAATTGAACTCGTTATTGCTTGTTTAGACAGTTAAGTGAAAAACTGGAAATTGATTATGTCTGAAACGAATATCTCTTTGTTTTTAATTCACGTGGACAAACTATATAGACTCATCCACAGGAAAAAAAAAAAAAAGTAGGGTTCGCTTTAAATGAAAAACATTTTTTTTTTCTGACAATGTTCAACTCAGCTCTGCATTTAAATTGGATTAATCCACAGGAAAAAAAAAAAAAAGAGCACATATGCCTCCTCAGTGAACATGTGACTGTGGCGGCTCTTAAATCCGCACTGTGATGTTGTCTAGTAAACGCGATCGTTGTCACTTCGACTCCAGTGACCCTCCGCCACCCGCTATCCCCACTGTGCCTCTTGATTAGTTGCATCTTCTCCCTCTCCATCCAACGGTTTTAACCCCCTCATCCCAATCTGTCACACTTAAACACACACCAGCCCGTCAACCAGTTGCTCTCATACACTCGCTCGATAATAATAATTACCCGCTCGTCCAACGAATTATTATGATAAATGTAGTGCTGCTGATGAATTAAGGTGGTAATTCAAGTGGCAACCAGCTTGAGCTTCTGCAGGCTCGAAAAAAAAGCCTGAAAATTAAATACAGTTTGATCTTAAGATTAAAGTATGTACTGATGTTCCCCTCCTCGTTCTATCTAAGTTAAAATAAAATTATTAACTTCTCATCCACGTGCTTTCGGTAAAGAAGCAGGTTGAAGATATTAAAAGTGACATGTTGGTTTATTGGCTGCTGAATTATTTATTTCTGCAGTCGCAGGAGGCGCAAGAGGCCCCGGATTTTTTCTTCATATTCCTTAAATGTACTATCATCAGTATTATAGTTTTCAGTAGATTAATCTTCCATTCTTATTTTGTTTATGTTAAAATTTTACAAACAATAATTATGATTATTTTATTTTTCAAAATAGGAACTTTGCTTAGCACAGATGCCACACATAAAATAAATACAAATAAAACAAATGAATATAATAAACTTAACAATTAAAAATAAAATGAAAAACAAAATGAAAATCGATTTCAGGGATAAAAAACCCCAACTAAATTAATCGTTGACATTTGTTTTGATCGACGATTGCTGGATGTGCTTTATGTTTCTTCTTCTTCTCTAACCTGACCTAAAATACTGTTGCTCAAAACAAAAAAATAAATAACAAAAGAAAGAAAAAAGTACAAAAAAAATCTGTTGTACAACACTGACCTTTTTAATTAATCATTATTTATTTTGGATAATAATAATAATAATAATAATAATAATAATAATAATAATAATAATAATAATAACTTACCTTGGCATTTAGGTGTAGAATTTGCTTCTTTTTTTCTTGCTTCCTCTGTTTGAAGGAAATAACAAAAGAAAAAAAACTGCGCAGAAGTCAACGAGTCCGATACACAAAATCTCCAAAAACCAAGCAGGAGCAACCTCCCTCAGCCAGCTGATGAGAACAACAGCACAGATAAAAGTTGAGCGATGAGCGCAGCATCGGGCTCTGAAATGACGCTAAAGGCGGCGGTGGAGCTGCGGAGGAGGCTGCGTGTGCGCCTTTAGGATTTGTTCAGACTGAAGTGGTTTGAGTTAGATTTTGTACAAACCGCCAGCCAATGGGGAGCCCGCAGAACTGAGCTGAGGTCCTTCTCTGTCTCCGTCTCTCACACTGGTGGGAAGCCCCGCCACCCCTCCTCCCATTCCCCCCGTCACTTTTTTTTTCTTTTTTTTTCTTTTTTTTTTCGGGGAACAAACGTCTCCAGCTACTTTTTTTTTTGACGCACGGTCCTCAGCCAATGGCAGCGAGAGGACGACTGACAGCATCCCCATCCCACCGCAGAGAGGCTGCGCTGAAGGGAAGTAAACTGTATGCCGGTGGATGATGACACCAGACTTTGTTAATGTTTATTTATTCTTTTACCACAAGTTACTTTATATCATGGAGAGAAAGAGGAGAGAAACCCTTCACATAAAGACTGACTATGAAGAGTTTCCAACAAATAGAGCAGAAGGTGACGTTTTATGCAGATGCACCGATCAGACGCAGTCTTATTGCTGTCTGAAAAATATCTGATTCAACAGAAGGATGCAAATGTGTGTGTGTGTGTGTTTTTAAAAAATCTAATCAAACAAGAAGTTTTAAATAAAAGAGGGACTAATCTGAAGGGTAAAAAAGTAGGAGGGAGGGGATCTATTGCTGGGCTCTCACATTCCAGTGCGTCGCAGAAAAAAGGGGGGATTTAGAGCGACTTATTTCCTTTAAATTGTCCTCCGGTCCGCAGAGCCAGCCAGTCTGAGGATCTTGCAGGCCTGCGCCGAAATGCACCGGGGATCAGACCGAGGAGCTGGTGGGGTTTCATCTGGGATGGATATCCAGGTGAGGACAGACGATGGAAGAAGACTAAGGAAGGGACCCGGCTGAATCTCTTGATGTTACCTTATTTATTAAGGTAGGCCTCTTTAATAATAATAATAATAATAATAATAATAATAATAATAATAATAATAATAATAATAATAATAATCGTGGTTAATTATCCTGACTGTCTAGAACAGATGTTATATTTTGAGCACCAACAGTCTCTGAGGGACAAAGAAAATCCTCCTTTGCGTCACTTACGTTTTTGAACCTGTGTGCCCATCTCAAAATAACATGCTGAGGGTTTTTGTCACGGCTTGGTAAATGTATCATCCTTAAGAGGCTTTTTCTAACACCTACACACACACACACACCATCTCTTTCTCTCACACACACCTACACACCCTCTCTCTCTCTCTCTCCTTCTCTCTCTCTCTCTCACACACACAAACACACACACTCGCTCTCTCTGCAGCGCCTGCACGGACACACCCGCTCCCTTCAAACAGATTTGAATATTGATTTAGATTTATAAACACAGGCAGAGCGTGGATTTTTTTTTAAACTCATTTGTCATTTGCATCCCTCTCCCTCTCTCTCCCTCTCTCTTCTTCTCCCTCTTCCTGCGTGGCTCCTGTGGAAAGGGCCAGAGTCAAAGGTGTCGTGACAGCTGGGAGGAATGCTTTTCACCCAGAGCGGCACACAACGCAGCTCACACACCCAGAACAAACTTCATAAAGTCAGTGACATTTCTTTTGACAGATTTCGATCGGAGGAGGTGCGTTCAGATGTCCAGAAGTTGGATTTGTCTTGAATCTGAGAAGCAGAGAAAAGTTTTGCTGGTGGGAAAAGCTGCACCACATTCAGGTAGGAGTCTTCGCCTTTTTATGCTTTTCTTTTATTGTATCTTTTTCAAAATTATCATTGACTTCAACAAAAGCAAAATCTTCAATTTGCCATTAATTTGGTAATTTGGATATAGTGTTGAGATTTACATTGTGCAGTAAATGGAATATACACTGATACAACAATTAAAAACAATAACCAAAATAATGATAATAATAAAAAAAACATGCAGTTGTTTAATAATTGGTAAAATATACACTAAACTGAGGAAATGACGTACGGGTTAATTTTGTTTGATTTGTTGAAGAATATAGACAGATGGTGTTTGTTGCCCAAGTCGTAATATAATATTTTATCTTTTCCTCTAAAATTACTTTGACAATGTAAAGTATTTTTTTAAAGTGTGTATTTTCTAAAATTGTATTTGATTTTAAAACATAGGTGGAAATTAAAACACAACAAAAAGAGGAAATAAAATATATCCCAACTTTATCGTCAACAGTGTGGGCTGCATCCAACGAATATAAAAACACTGCAGTGTACAAATGCAAAATATTATTTATCCTTGAAATAATATTAGCCACAAATTTTACTTAACTGACAGCTTTTCTTTTCACAACTTTTTGTAACTTTTCCACACCTGGATGAAGTTTCAGTCAGAACGCACATATGTACCGCTTTCAAACCACTTTATAAACTCCCGATGTCTGAAACAACTCGGACATATATTTTTCATTTTAATATAAAAATACATTCTATATGCAGAATGCCTTCTTCCGGGCCGCTTCATTATAGCAGCTGCATGGTAATGGATCCTAATGCGAGACGTTTTCAAACTGCAGCGTGGAGAATGATGATGTCTGATGCTGTTATCTGCCGCATCTCACCGTTTAAAATCGCTAAATAAATTATTAAAGTGCAAAGCGAGGCCCCTCCGCGGGGACTTTGTATCTTAAAAGGACGTTTAAAGGGAGAAGCGGCGGAGCGCCTGCGGCGGGCTGCGCTCCCACTGACTCCCGGCTAATTGACGACGAGCGGCTTTTATCTCCGCCTGCGCTGCACTCAACCTGAGGGCGAGGATTTTTTCCACCGGGCCGCTCCAACCTGTGATTTCCGCCTGTTAATGCGCGGCCACGCATCTTTGGAAACTCACCGCGCAGGCTTGCCTGTTTGACCCCCTGTTTGATAGTCTTGAAAGGAAGAAGAAGAAGAACCCCCCCCCCCCCGAAAAAAAAAACCCATCGCATTTTCAGATTGGGTAATTGCAGGCAG